CCTATAATCCCAGTGCCTACTCCAGCGAGGCCTGAGGCAGGAGAAGTGTGCTTTGAACCTGGGCAGGCGGCGAAGTTCGTCGGTGAGCCGTGATCGGCAGCACTACACTCCAGCCTGGGCAACAGAACAAGACTCCACCTCAAACAAAAAAAAAAAAAACTAAAATAAATAAAATACTAATACCACTATGAAGGATCCACAATAGATACATAGTAAACAGATATATATAGTAAAATCACCAACTATAGAATAATGGCTTCTACGGAAGTTAAGAGTAAAGGAAATAGGGTGAGTCTTTAGCTAATTAAGTAATGTTTGGTTTTGTAAGAGATCTGAAGGAAATATGGCAAAAAAATTAAAATCTAAATATGATTGGTGACACATTAGTTACCTTTTTATGCATACTGTATGTTTGAATTTTTTAAAAAATTTCAGTTAAATTTAAGAAAAAGCAGTTTTCAGATGATTAGTGCTAAAAAGAATTATTATTCATTAAACTCTGATCTTCCTCACAGGAAAACATGTAATGCAAGTAAAATTGATTTTTTTTCCCACAATATTTATGATCCTAGATGCCAGCCTGTTATTGCACTCCAGGCCACTATCACTCCAGCCAACCTCAGTATCGCCCAGTCCCTTCTGTTCATTACAATTCACATCTAAACCAACCACTGCCACAACCTGCGCAGCAGACAGGTGAGTTGTGTTTCTTATGTCATAACTTCTGAGCCATGCTTTTTCCCATCTTCTATTTCAGTATTGCTCTTAAGTAGTACCTACTCAGTCTCTCAGGATCTCGAATATGTTCATACATATGAGTTTGCAAACCAGTGAGATTAAAAGAGTGAGCAAATCTCAGCATCCTCTGGAAAGTACTACAGTGTCAGGTCTACATGCTAAAGGGTTGGGAGTATCTGGGAATATCTTAAGCAGTTTTTTAAGTGGCTGCCATCTCTCACTGCCATTGAAATTGAAGCTGTCTTTGCAGCCTGATAAATCACCTATGGTAACAGCAAGAGAGGCAAGGCAAGGCAAGATGACTTATCAATAGCTAACCAGAAGCAAAGATCAAAACCACCTAACTTGGATTGAGAACCCTAGTCTAGGGATGATATTTTGATCTTTTAGTAAGTATGCCTTTGAAAGAAATGATGTACTTAGCATATTTTCTGTGTTTTGCTTTTCAGTTTGTTGATTGATAGTGAAAAGTATTTTTAAACAAAATACAATCTAAGGCCACTTAAATGAAATTTATTAAAACTCAGCATTGTTTTTGTTTTAGCACTCTGCAGATTTTCTTCAAGCATTCAGTGAAAACAATTTTGATCTCAGTGTATAAAACTATCTTACTGATTTTTTAATGAACTCATTTCTCTATATGCTTCTCACCTAGATGTGTACTTCCCAGATGTTTAATAAGGTATTTATTCAGCCTTTTATAACTCTAGGAGTTGAAGTAGAATTTTATCATTGGTTTCTTTAGAGCTTTCTTAACTGCTTTTCACTATTGGAGGCTCCCAGACTATGTGAGTGTGACTCACTGAGGAACCCATAACCTCCACCTCCACTGAGGCTGTTTACTACTCTTGATATTGTGTGAAACTCTTCAGGGTTACCACCAGTTTAGGAGAAGCATCTCTGCACTGACCCATCTGGTGAATAGTAGTCATACTTCTCTTTACTGTTGCAGTCTTCAGTGATCAGTGTGACTCACTAACTTTCTTTGCTAGATATAGTTCATGCTTAGCATAGCCATGCAGGATAACTTCCAGGTCCTTAATCTGGTACCCTTAGGAGTTGTCTCGTGGTTAGTTTACAGGTTCTCCCCTTTTTAATATGTTACTAGCCTTGTATGTACCTGTGACAAATGTTCTTCCAAAGAATGTTGAATACAAACATTCGTCATTTTAGCCAAGTTAGTATATGTGCTGCCGAAGTGAGCACCATTTTAGCCAAGTTAGAACTGTAGTTCCAAGCTACCTAAAATTTAATAATACAGTCCACATCAAATAATGTAACTAGTATATGATATAATTTCAAAAGGTATCAAAAATTATTCTCTATTCGTGGGAACATTGGTTGTGATACTGCTCATTAGCTGGTACTGCTCATTAGCTTTATATACATTGGTGTTTCATTCAGAAACAATTTTCTGAATTTTTCTGGACCTCAAGTAATATAATTTTCTTTTTTTTTTTCTGATTTTTGTCTTCCAAAATTATAACACAGACTGTACCTGATGCCATAATAAAGAAATGTACCTTTATGCTACTCATTTAAATATCCTTGTGTGTGACTAATTAACTTAATTCATTAGTACATCCTAGGCAGGCAAAAATCCTTTGTTCTGTATTTGTGTTAGCTTACTAATTTTGTTCTTCAACGTGGCAAAATTTTTATACCTCTCCATGGTCAAACTGCCTGTAAAATCACTTTCAATCTCAAATTGGGACTAGTGTGCAAGTACAACTGCCTCTCTGCAAAAAAAAAAAAAAAAAAAAAAAAGACACTTAATGGAATACAACTAAATATGCCTGATCAGGGGTAAAAACATCTATGTGACAGATAGCATGTGTTTATTATTGGTGACATTTAATTGTGGGGTTTTCTCTGATGCTAGTTATGATGAGAAGGAAGAAACAATCAGATTGCATCTGAATAGTGCTACAGGCGCAAAAAAGAGAATCGTGTCTTTGAAAAATGTTTGACATTGTATTTGACTCTTTTGAGTCAGTCATAATATAGCAAAAACTAGACTTGTCCTTTCAGCTATTTTATATAGTATCCTCTTAACTTGCAGCTTAAGTTAGTTGACTCATTCAGTTTGAAGAATAAAAGGAATAAATCCTCAAAACATTCTTATCTAAAAGAGAAAGGAATTTTGTTATGCTAATAAGTATCATAGATAATTTTCCTTTAAAGAAAAGTTCAGCAGTGCCAGTGCCAACTATTGTGTTGGTAATTGTATTGAATCTTTTCATAGAATTAGTGGGGATTTTAACTCTTTTTTAAAAGTTGTAATCTAAAGACTTTTTTATAGTTAGCTCATCGTTAATTTTTATGTCAAAACTTGCAGAAGGCCAGGCGTGGTGGCTAACACCTGTAATCCCACCACTCTGGGAGGCCGAGGCGGGTGGATCATCTGAGGTGAGGAGTTTGAGACCAGCCTGGCCAACATTATGCAACCCTGTGTCTACTTTAAAAATGCAAAAAAAAAAATTAGCCAGGCGTGGTGGCGCACACCTGTAATCCCAGCTACTTGGGAGGCTGAGGCAGGAGAATCATTTGAACCTGGGAGGCGGAGGTTCCAGTGAGCCGAGATGGCGCCACTGCACTCCAGCCTGGGCAACAGAGTGAGACTCAGTCTCAAAATAAAAAAAAAAAATTAACAGAAAAGTATGTGTTAATGTTTGTATGTGCCCTAGTGTAGAAAAGTAAAATGTACTGGGAAATTAACAGGACAGTTTATTGTTTTTGAGGTTTTTTTACAGATAAATAGCAATTACTGTCTCATAATTTACATTTTTATATGGAAACATACTTCTGGGATTCCTTTTGGCTTTTATTTTCTTACCTCTCTACATTCTACTATCCCAATCTGGTTAAAAATGAGAAATAATTTTTCATATCTTATATTTTTATGTCTTGTCAAACAACACTTGCTTACCCCACAAAGTGTCAAGAAGCATGTTTTTTTTTTAATTACATAAAAGGGTGAAACTATTCAACCAAATAATGAAAACACTAGTAGATTTGGCGTGGTTTTTTCTTTTTTTTTTTCACTATGGCACAAGTAATGTTTAAATGTTTATATTTGAACTCAAAGAAATTTTGCCCTCAATTAACAAACCCAACTGAGCAAAGTATTTTTAGACCAGATAGGGTATGGGCAGTAGAAATACGGAATCTTTTATTATTTTTCCTTTGGCGGGTAGAGAGGAGGTTGGGGAAATATCTCAAGGATAAAATGCTCTAGGTCTTTTACCCATGTGTGCCAGTGGACCCCAGCTGAAATCAGGACTAACATTACTGCTGGGGAAATGAATGTACTAGTCTTTTGTTACGAATGTGAAACTACTGGACTGTTCATTCAAAACAAGGTTGCATAAACCCCTATCAACAGAAACAGAAGAAACCCTGGCTACACACATAAGACTTTCTGGACAATGCACTGTATAATGGAAAGAACAACAAAATAAAAGTCAGAATCCTGATGGCCCTTAGTCATTTTTAACTGGTGTTAGGCATATCACTTAAAGCCACTGAGTTTCAGTTGGACTCATTTGCAAAGTATGAAAGTTTTACTGTATTGTCTGTTGAAGCCTCAGTGTACTCTAAAACGCCATGATTCTTTGTGTCTCATATGAGTCATTTCTAGTTCAGAAAGGTAGAATAATAGAGAATTGGTTTGTAACAGCTTGGCAACCAACTGTCAATAACTGGAATCAATAAAAGCAACTATTTCGAAAGATCAGATTACCAGTTGCACTAATAAAGATTTATTACTTTAAACCTTTATCATAAAATGTATGCTTTGAATACTGTAAAGTACACTGCATATAAGGAGTTTGGTATACTATAAAGAAACTTTTTCTGCAGGTAGTAATTATAGTGAAGATTTTAGGTTTACAAAGCCCTAGCTGTTTTCTGTGTAGCTGTTGTTATTCTTACGACTCTTGAAAAGTTTGTAGCTTCACCATATACATTTAATATTTTGCAATAATTGGCCTTGTTCCTGAGCTGTTGGATTCGGGGCCGTAGCACTGTCTGAGAGGTTTACATTTCTCACAGTGAACCGGTCTCTTTTTCAGCTGCTTCCTGGCTTCTTTTTACTCAGGTTTCCACTGCTTTTTTGCTTTTTTTTAATGCTGTATGAAGGTGTTAACATTTGTTTATATTTTTCATTAATTGTAATACCTTTAAATCATGCATCATACTCAGAAATAGGGATTTGAATTTAAGTGACAGCTTTGGCCTAATGTAATTTAACTATTAAAAATTTGTGAGAGCTATTGCTTATTTCTTTTCCAAAGTAAGATTTGGATGGCAAATTCAGTTTGATTTTGAGCTTATCTAAAAAGCTTAATGTTTTAAGCATACCAAACTCATTAGCAGAAGTCAAGTATATCTCTCCCTATTGCTACACAACTTTTTAGGGATATTGTTATATATGAAAGCATGACATCAGACGGACCTAATACACCTAAATGCATTTGAAGCTACTTGGGCTCAGCTCTTACCAACGATATAATTTAATTATTTTTCCCCAAACAATGATGTTGTTGCATATCTTTGGGAAGCAAAATGATTCTGTGAAACTATACTTTTAGTTTTGCAACCATTTGATGACTTCAAAGATTATCATTGCATTATATCCTTAGTCTTAGCTTTCCAGATAACCCAGAATCATATGGTTCCAAGTTGATTAAGCTTTTTCCAGCAGACTATGGTAGGATCCTGATGAACGACACTATGGAAGAAACTTGTTAGGATAAACAGTCTTCAGTGTGTGCAGATTGTTGACAGAATTTCAAGGCACAAATTTAAGAGTAACGAGTGTGTAAAAGGCAAGCAGGAAAATCAGCACTACTGGGTAAGCAGATGAGGGGGCTTATTGATAGGAGAGTCAGCTATGTCAAATAGGGACTCTAGGCGCAAAGTCAATTTCTTTATTGACAGCTTTCAATCCAAGTACT